TTCTGTCTTCGCTTGCCATCTGCATTATCGTCATTCATGGCCAGATCAAATGGCCGGATTTAATGTGTATGCAGACATCTGCCGTCAACCACAGAATTCCCCGGCAAACGTTCGACTGTGCCACCGTCATGGTTCCAATTTTATGCCTGGAACTGGGGTGCGCTCTCTTGCCAGCTGCAGCACTCCTCGTAGACGGCCGCACCACACTAAAGCATGCTCCGCAATATTTGTGTGCGTATGTCATATGCGATCCCTTTTCGGCATAACCACAGTGGCACGGGAAGATCGCCGCATATCTTCAGTGATGACTCGCAACGGGCCAATCAAGCTGTCCGTCGAGAGAATTAATTCCAATGAATGTTTACGGTATATTGCAGAATATTACTATGCCCCCGGGGATGTCGCCAAATATTGTGATTGTGCGTGTTTTTGTTGTCTGATCTATTCATATTTATGCGCAAGTGTGTGATCTTCATAGAGTGCCATTTATCAGTAGTATCGACATACCGCCGTCGTGTTCATAGTAATGTATGATAGTTTGCATCAGTGGGTTTAACTACACGGCTGAGTAATAGTAACTAAGGAAGGCAAGAGCTACGCTTAATTGTCAGCGACTCTGCTTCCGTTAGTATTGCTCTTATAAACCTACGGGAACTGTGGTAAAGGAAAGGTATGTACAATCTAGAAAGAATTTGGAGATTTGTTTTGACTGTATTAATCAGAAGATAGGGCTGGGGAAACGGTCATGAGAGACAAGAAAGAAGCAATATAAAAAGGTACTTAGAGAATAATTCACAACCTGCCTGTCTAAGCGAACCAGATGGTGTTAATAGGCCGATACCTCTAGTATAGCAACGTATCGATTGAAGGAGTGTAGTGACACAATGGATTTCTTGAGGTTTTGTAAAAAGCGGCGAAATATCAATGGAAGGACCAACTATAGGTAAGGTGGAAGTTAACGAACGGCAGAAATATCGCTACTATTGTCATCGCAACCGATACTTAAGCTCCGCTAAGTTTTATAGCCTTCGCGGAGCTGCGAAGTACTTGAAGAGAAGATGCATAGGTTCAGCGGTGTCGAAAAGCTTTCGTTCATACATGCATTGCGTCTGTTTTTAGCATGCATACTAACCATATCAGGCAAGACGACTAGCAATGGAACTACTGAATTGGCTTCCAGCCAAGATGAGAGTGAAGACTCAAAGAGGTATAGTATGCCCAAAAAGAGTGGCCGCATCCCAGAGCGTTCACGTTCGGGTTTCCTATGTACTCAATGTTCTCCTTCCCATCCTGGATCACCTGCCAACTAGCAGGAGAAGCAACACAAAAGCGACTAGCCATGAAGAGTTATCGCGTAACGACTCTCTACGGACATGATGTGCTCTGTCACAAGCGTGAAAAGAAAGCCGGCGCGTTTGAACTTTCAGGTGACAAGGATTCTTTGTGCTACTAGTAATGCCTCTGAACCACATTCAGCATACTGGTCTTAGCATAAAATGTGCAGCCATGCACTCTTTTTGTATGTGCCTTTTCACGTACGTCTCTAAAAGGAACTGGCGCGTTATCCAAGCGTCCGACCCTTAATTCCGCTTCGGCTGGCTTATGGCTAGTAACATAAAAAGGTGCCTGTATCAACCTTTTTGTTTAGTTTCGTCTCTTTGCCCCCCTTCCCAGTCATCCAAAGCGGCCCGCGCCACAAGCAGTGAGAAATGTGCTTGCGTGTTTGTTTGTGAAATGGCACCAAATAGTAAGATTTTGTCCTGACTATTTAAACGTAAACGGGTCCTCTGCTCCTGCAAGAAAGTACACTGAATTGTCTAGAGGCGTATAAGAATGACAAGCTAGGAAAATGTTTCTTCTAGAGAAGGATAACTAGCTCATAATATGCAATGCAACCTCGTCTATTTCTGGCTAAACGTTTGGACATTATATGTGATGCAACAGACGTATGCAGGACAAAGACACACGCTGCAACGGTTAGGTTTCAGTGTTATGTACGAATAGTAATAACTGAGCGACGACAGATTTCTATATTGTACTTGTCTTGTGAACAGATATTCGACAGACAACGCTAAACCGATAATTTTGTCTGTTGTTGAGACTACAAAACTAAAAAAAGAGAGTATATTTCATGCAATATATATATCTCTAAGCTGGCAGCAACAGACTATACGCTAGAGTGCACCGGTCCTTCGAGATGACTAACCAACTTACTCTGCTACTGATTGATAGAAGTTATTTTGGACAATCATCAGTCTATCCCAGATTATATACGTCCGTCTGTAGTATATATACATAAATATCAATAGTGCACGATAACATGTATGTATATGAAGTTTGCATAATCTAGACATGACAACAAGCCAAACATATAATTAAGTGAACACGGCCAATGGATAAGCTATGAAAGATTGGATAAAAGTTTATATTTTGACGCATAACAAATGGACGCTAAATATGTCTGCTAATAAATACGATCATAGGCTAATCCTCTACGAATAAAGTATTGCGATTCAATGTACTAAAAATATCTAGGTAGAGTATAGTAGCACGTAATGTCCTAATGGCACCCAGTTTCACTCTTCTAATGATCTAGGCCACATTAGCGAAACGTATTTAATGTCTGAGTGTTTGGAAATGTATACATTGATTTCTCTGGCTCAACTCGTGCATGCGTCTGTTGCAAAGCCTTACCAAGGCTTTTACCAAAAGCTGACAGCGTTGCTTATTCAAGTAGCGCCTGTCGACGCACGTAAGTTTTGCGTACACTCACATTTAGTCTAAGGCTTACAAAAGAACCAACAGGTGGAAGACATCGGCTGAAGCCCCCGACCAATGGCTATTACCATTACATAATCTCTCTATCCGTAGATACTAGTAAAATTGCGTGGTCATCGATTATGACAAAATCAGTAGCTGAATACATTAGTCTACCCTAGTAAATGAATCGGGCCTGTCGCAAATTGGCAGCTAGCCAATAAAAATTGTCTTCCCTGAGTCGTCTGGTCGGTCATACCGATACCCGGTCATACTCGCATCAGAAGCCCATGTAGAGCACTCCACAAGTTGAACACAGTGACACAATGGTGAATAGATGATGAAGGATCTACGGGTAAAGGTTGCTAAAAATGTATAGCACTGTAATAAAGTGCTCACCAAAAGATTTAAATGAATCTAGCAATGCTGGTGTCTTCAATGGCGAATGATAAATAAATGCGTTGTGGGCGTGCCAAATGACCAGACCATCAGCGTTACAGCATGTAGTACGAACACAAAGGAAACCCAACTGCCATTTTTCACAGGAATGCTTCGGAGCGATAGTCCAGTAGCATGTTTACAACTAGAAAAAAAAAAAAAAAATCTTCCGTTTCTTTAGGCAATTCGTTTGCCATATGAATGCGATAATACTGTAAGTAGCTAATAGCGGCGCATCTATTAATTGACACACTTCAAAAAATAAGAACTCAAAATTGTCATCAAATTCCTTCACGAAGGTCACACTGTCATCGTCAATTTTATTATATCATTAATCCTAAAATGAAGGCAACAAGATAGCATGAATGTTCGTGACACATATATCACCTATAAGCTTCTTCTCACAGCATCCCCACTTAATCCGTACGCTACCTGTCCTGGTTTTGATAAAAAACAAAGAGAAAAACCAAAAACTAAGAGTTATTGTTAGTGATTACCACTGAATAGAAAACAGAAGACAGTTTTTTTTTATACGAAAATATATGTTAGTTGTAGCTACAACCTTTTTGCGGTCTGCTAGTAATGGTGCTTTCTGTGAGCCGCCATTGCAGCGCTCGTGTAGTTCAAACAAAAAAAATTGCCAACAACGAGTTCGTTTCTCGTAGACGTCTCCACACAAAGCAACGAAATAAGAAATAATGGCTTAATTATAGGCAATCGCGAGGATTGCTCTAAGCTTTCACACAAAAAAAAATAGAGCAGGACCTTTTAAGCAGCAGCACGTAGTGATGGTAATGAATAAGCAGCAATGTGATCAACGCTCGAGTACAGAACACCCAAAACGCAGAAAAAAAACTCAGCGAAGTTTTCGGCCCTGAAAAGACCCGGATGCGCCTCGCTTGGTCAATCAGTTGTAGAAAAAAGCGGTAAACAAATAATGTACTATACGTAATGTGACTACCCTACCAACAAACGCTGACCTACTACTAGAAACAAAAGGTAACAATTGTCAGTACTACACAAACAAAAAACAAAGAACACTCAACCTCCTTGTATCATAACGCTTCGAACTATGTACCACTAATAAAAAAAGACCCGGATGATAAGTAACTCAAGATCTTCAAAAGACCTTTCCGGATACATGCTTGTCCCTCAGGCAATTGTTTCGTCTCCTATCCGCATCGAGCCATAATCGTGTCGGCGCTTCTATCGCAAACGTTATGAAACATCGTCTAATACTATTAAATTTGCGCATCGTCTTCTTGCTTCTACTGCCCTTGCCTATTCAGTAGACACTATCCTAAAATATCTGCCATTAGTACGAGTGGTTCGCATCGGTTACTTCGAAATGCCGAAATTAGGGTTGAGCCTGCATCGATTATCATGTGCTGCCTTCTCTCTATCGCGATGCCATCTACAAACCTCCGACTCAAAAATATTCGCCACTGCTGGAGATATACTTTTGCTTATACCCTAGATACGAAAGCCGATACCGTTGCAAATACAACTGACAAGGAAAGAAAAGATAGATGTGCCAAAACCACACGACAGGGCGAACCAAGATCTTTCTCCCGGCATCGTCTGGCATAGAATACGAAGACGATGCCTGGTTACTGGCTCCCTATGCCAAACCCAACCGATGTCAGTAACGCGCATTCGAGCAGAGGGTGCCTTTGTCCTATCCGTTCTGCCGGCGGGGATCACAGATTTCGCCGGATGAACCTGTCGCTCAAACGCTGATGCTTAAGCTATGTCCCGCTACAACGTATACTGCTACTGACGACATAGCCATTAACTCACGATTTTTGTCTCTCCGTGGACGAGACTCATACAAGTGGCCTCTTTTTGTGCATGACAAGAAATTCAACCGGCGAGACAGCCGACCGTCGGCGAACCTGACGCGGTTAGCCGTGAGTGAGACGATATAGACCATATAGGTGTATAGAGCCGCGGGAACACCGCACAGCCTAAGGCCCATGGAGGCTGCCGCAGCAGAAATAGTGTCTGGTATTAATAGCAGAATAGTATATGGCTACCGCAAAAAAAACAATACAACAACAAGAAAAAAAGACTGAATAGCGCTGGACGCCGAGTGCTGAAACCTACAACGTACCATCATTCGTGTTGTGGTTGACGATGCGCGAGTTGAAGGAGAGATTACTCAATGGCCGCTGTGATGACGACGATGGCATAGACTCAACACAATATTGTATTATGTATAGAAAGTGCGATCAGATGATGGTGTCCCCCTGATATTAGTGAATGCCATTTGATAGACATATTGTCGCTTGATTTTCGTTGTTTCGCGAAAGGCACTAGACTGTACGAGTTAAAAACGGCCTACGGTGATAACTGTAGCGGCAGTAGTTGCGAGAACACCACGTGCTGTTCGTCCCCTGAGTATAATAGACATGTCGATTGTCTGATTAATAAACCCAGAGGGATCTTCATTATCAATGACTTCTATCTAATCACTGGGCATACATATGTTTCAACTTACCTACGACCACTAGCAGCACTACCGTGTAGCTCGCTACTTAACCGTTGTTCGTTGCGGATGTATCGTGTGCACTCATAATGTACTGGCGGGATGGTGAAATGAAAATGTGTTGATCTGGACTATCGTATTGTCCTATATTGTTTCCCTAGCATTGATGTACAGTCCGATAAACGCTAAATGTTGTAGTGGTAAGACATCATCCAAGCAAGCAGTACTTTCAGGCTCATTTGTGTCCTGCTTAAAATGGTGTGGACTTCAAAAAGTTTCTTCCCGTCGCATATGTGAGGTGAGAGACCTTCATGGTTTGCTTGCCAGAGTAATACCGAGCATAAAACGTAGCACACTTGCAGCTGTAGATCCATAGTATATTCAATCTATGAATTTGACCATCGACGTTACCGGCATTCGTTTCACTCGAGCTTTTTCATTTTCATTACTAGTTTAACGTGCTCTCATGCAATGTATCAGGTCGGCGGCTGAATTCAGGCGATAAGAAGCCTGTTTTGTTGATAGGCCGTAGAAAAGAAAGTAGGTTCGATGCAGGAGCTGGTGCCATATGCATAATTATTATTTTATAGTCTTTCTGTATTTTGGAGCATATAAAGACCGTGTCTTCGTGATATTCACTTTACGTACGACGGAAAAGCGCTGTTTGCCTGCTTTAATACGGCAAACAAACAACCGATACGATTTAGATTCAAATTGAACAGAACAGAATAGATACACATGATTATTCCGTTCCACTAGCGACTTTTGACAGGTAACGTCCTGTAGAGCTTGTTCCTATTGTGCCACGCCAGGTTTTCGTAACGCGCGATGCCTGCCACTTATGGCACAACCCTACTACCAAATGGCATCCAATTAAGGTCGTTGGTCCTCCGACCTATACAGAGGCAGCCATGACTGTCGTCCCCATCCTCGTCTCTGCTTCATGCAAATATACCGAATTTTCGTATGTTGCAAAACATGTTGGACAATCGTCGTTTACAGATGCCCTTTATAACGGAGGCAAAGCTTGCTCGAGCTGCCTGTGATAGACCTCTTGTGTGTTTTGCAAAAATTGAGCGCTAGCATGCAAAAGGAAATTAATTTCACAATATATATAGCGCGAAAGAGAAAGCAAGCGAGCCGGTCTTTAGTATTGTGCTTTCATAAAGGATCCATTGCTTGATTGCACTATGAAAAGTTTAGCTAGTCTGGCTATTTCGCATGAATAAAGATCGTATTTACCTAAATTCAATGGTAAATTGCTACCTAGTTCTACAACAAACCTAACAATTTTAATAAAATTAATAAGGGAATGTTTTATCACGCACTTACGAAAGTCTCCAACGTACGACGTTTTTTGCTGAACTTTTTCGTTTGCCATAGTGCCCCTTTAAATGGGTGTTTCCTGGGGTAGTGGGTCCAAAAAGTAGCGAGTTCGCTTTGTGACAAGATGAAAGATACCATATTTTTAATAAAGACATTTCAGTACCCGCGATAAAGCCTGGTATGCGATTTTAAATCGAGTGAAATAAGGCCAAGTTGAAATTATCTGTAGGTCTGTCCATTCATTAGATGTTCGCTTTTTTGGCTTTGAAAAGCTCTTTTGAGACATTAAAAAACTACCATTGATTCGTTAGACTAAGGTTTTGGTAAATAGGGTGTCACGGGTAAATAAGCATCTCGAGCTGTCTCTGTGTCACTCCTGTTAACGTCAAATACATATTCATGCCCATAGACCAGACTCAATGTGACAAAAAAAAAACTGACAACGTCTAAATATATACCCAAAAAAAATATTCGTCTTAACTCGTTTGGGTTTTAACGGATAGTATGTTGTTATCTAACATATAGAGTATAATATATTTTAAAATATATAGTAACTTGTGTCGAATTTCAACTAGAGTAACTCATCACAATATTCTCTCAACTACAGAGGTTTTTATAGCGGTTACCTACGTGCAAGAGCGACGGCAGACGTTATTGGTCTTATTTGTATGTCTTTATGGCATAGGTTTACCCGGTGTGCAAAGGTTAACATTTGTAGCGCTTTTGATTTTACTTCCATACTGCTTTTTTCCGTTCGATAACAATATCTGCGAAGATCGAACACAGCGTATTGCGTAAGGTGCTGATAACCAGCAGAGCTATACATGCGTACACCCAATGTTCGCTAGTGATTACCATTTTACGAGCCAAAGTCGGTACCTCATGTATGACTAATTTAGTCTTGTTCAATTTTTACAACTTTCGAGTGGTTTTTTATATGTGGAATCGCTTAAATTTCCATGTAGTCCAAATTACCCGACATTCATCATTATATATATAGAACATCCATTATTCTTTTGATATATGGTTGTTTCTGCTAGTTCTACTCGTATAATTCATATATTCTGCTTTATCAAACAAAAGAGCCTGATAACAATTGAATTATAATCAACAGCCATATATCATATGAACCAATATTGTAAGACAGCGGGTAGACGGAGAAGTCTGGTCGTACCTTAGTTTAATTCTTACCTTTCTACCATTAGGCGACATGGTGCCTCTAGTTGACTTCTCAAGCCGGTGATCCGTCCGTGAAAACTAAAGGCATCAAAAGCAACCATTCGAGTATACTTCAATAGGTACATTCAAAGAAGGTCGTGTAGGAGACAATTAGAGAAATGCCTCTAGTCTAAACAAATGACTTCTCACATCGGACACTGGAAATATTTATAATGGCCTTTGATATAAGTACGAAAGGTAAGTTTGCACAGATGCCTTCTACTATTTGAGCAGATGTAGGGAGATCAAGTAAGCTTCATAACTATCTTGATTCTAGTTCATTCAGCCCCAGATCTGTAAAGACGTTCTCGTTCAGTAGATAAATGAGCGCTTTTTTGACCGAAATCTATATAGATACTTTATATACTTTTTCACTTATTGTAGATACAATTACTAGTTTGAGATATTTTAATAAGTTTTACCGAGCACTATAGAACTATCCATTGTCGATAGTTGAACTTAATAAATGTTAGCTGATGCCTAACCTATGCAGATGTTCCTAAAATCACGTCTAACACATTCAGGCCAAAAGGTGCCGCTGGCAAAAAGCGACCTTTCCGCTCTTAGTTTTCTTCATGTCGTTTCACTAAGGGCCGTATCAGCATTTTCATTGAAAGATAGCCTTTAAAAAAAATTGACTGTTAACCTCTATCTACTTAGGCTGCGTTGGTGCATGGAGTTGACCACGCTTCAAGTCGGAACGTCGAAACACGACCCCTGATCACTCAGATGCGTACGGGTGTATCGACTGATTTTATAACTTATCAGCTGCATGATTCATGTAAAAAGGATGGATCAGGCAGAACATGTAACCACTAACCAAAATGGCGTTTCACGTATAGTCTATAGTTTAAAAAAGATGCAATTCGTCCATATTGTTGCTCACTGTAACGGCGTGACATTCCATCCATTAATTTAGTTTAAAATATACTCAAATATTCGTTACGCTAAAGTAGTTCAACGAACAAGTAAATTAAGACAGTGATCCGTTAAAAAAAAAGTTAGGTTATTGGAGGTTGCTCGTTTCAATCTTGAGTGTGGCAATAACAAAGATCAACGGTGAAAAGCGTGAGTGACGTTTACGGCGCGAGGCAGGCCTGTAGAGCAGACCGTGAAGGTTAAAACAAAAAAATCTTTTATCAAGTATTGGATGAACTGCGAGATAGAGGCGGAGTTAATGAGTATAGGAAATTAACAAAGGGGCAAATAGAAAGATTACGAGAAACCCGAGGAGTAGCGCATCGGGCATCATTTTATTAGACTTGACGCTATCTTATTTTAAGCCTATAGCCAGCCTCCGAAACAATAAGAAATAACAAGGATAAGCAACATTTTGTAATCAGAACTTATAAATTCAGAAATTATACTAAGCTTCTAAGATGGGAGAGCGAGCGAGAGAGAGAGAGAGAGAGGGAGAGAGAGAGGGAGAGAGAGAGGGAGAGAGAGAGGGTAAATCACATGGGGACATTCAAAAAGAACACGGTTATTCTGGAAATTGCTATGAAACCTTGCATTGTGTACAGAGGTGAAGTGATGTAGCAGAATTGATAAGTCGTGCCGCGTACTTGCCTGAAGGTAGAGACGCTGCGTGCAGTAATAAGATGTGGACTACATTTGACGGCAAATTTTAGGTGACAGGACCCACTAAGCAGATGAAATTACTATAATTAGCCAGCATGAAGATTTTAATTTTCCAAGTATTTAGCACTGAGATGATATCAGTAGAAGCTATGATAGAGGTGCAAGTACTTTGGTTGCATATAAATAGAGAAACTGCATATAGGGTCGAAACAGGACGGGCCCTAAGACTGTATACTGGCCGATGTTTCCGATAATCTGCACGAGTGGAAAAAAAAAATACTAAAAATGTTGATTTGGATAAATAGCGCCCCATGAAGAAACGCCGATATTGCCAGAAAATCCAGGAGCGGTATGAGTAGCGCAATTAAGCCACATCCTGAAATGTCCCTCCCTGCCCGTTCATTGCTACTGGAAACGCACGTTTTAACATTGTCGAGTATTGCCCAAAGGATCGTCTTCAGCGGAATATTCCTTAGCCGATAGAAAAGAAAAAGCAGCCCAAGTCATACTGACACTAAAGCTGGCTGATAATAGAACACCAAAAGCGATAAGAACTGTAGGTTGGCAAGGGGTAGGATAATTTGTTTGGACCGTTGTTCTTATAGATAAGAGTTTGGGAAGCTAGTTGAGATACAGAAATTATTAAGTATTTCGGGTTTCAGCTTCGGTGCAACTACCGTGAAGTGTTGCCTCAGACGTCTGATACTTCTCAGCGTGTCTCTATGTCCGCTTTTAAATCTATGTTATTTCACGGGTCCTTTGGCTTTCTAGGCGAACACATTACCACCGTGCTATCACAAAGATCTTTTAGATACAGCGGGAAATGGATAGTCGAAGAAGGAAATATTGTTGGTGAATAACGTAGGAACTTTCAGAAGTATTAATTGGCTTATAAGTTAACTTTACGATAACCACAAACTTTGCCAATTAGAGCGCGGTCTAAATATGAAAAAGGGATCGACGAAGCGGAGCTTAAGGAGCCTAAACCCGCATCGAGCTGAGCGACCCACCACAGGTCTTTGTATTTGCCGGGCTGCTTAGTGATTACTTGAAGGATGGACACTATAAAGTGAGAATATGTTGAAGGAATAGTACCTACGATAGCTCGGTAATTATGTACTACTAAAATCTATTGTAATTATATTATCGTAATACCGTAAAGATCTTATAAAC